CTTAAACCCGGATCACCGACAGTACTACAGGTACCTTTTATTTGAATAGGAAGGAGTTTACTTTAAAAGTAGAAAATAACAACGGATTATTCTTCCTATTGCTGGGGTGTAAGGTCTATTTAAAATTTTTTTCTGTAAACAGGAAAGAAATGCATCCCAATAGGATTTGAGAAACAATACAGTCAAGGTTTTAGATAGTTTTCAGTTCAACTGATGGTTTTATTGTTGATCTCTTACTTCAAAATTAAGATAAAGCCGAGAGAGAGAGAAACAAAATGAAAATTACTTTGCCTCACAGCAGTCGGAAAGCTTAGTCTTTTCTGGAAAAACTCTATAGAGGAGAAATTATGCCATTTGCAAACTTTTTTTATCACAATCAAATATTTATAGCCAAACCTATCTGAAAAATATTTAGTTTTTATACACTGGAAGTAATCTCCAAGTGTGACCTGTCCTGTTTTGTAATTCACGGGCTCTCTCAAAGGTTAAGTGACTATTATGAGCTGCTGGAGAGATTGTAAAATACAATACTATCTGATTGACTGTGAAATTAGGTTTATAGCTTAGAAGGTTAAAAATGCAATGTATTTAAAAAAATAGGATCCTTGTCATTGCCATTCTCCAAGAAAATATTCCTCTTATCATGAGATGTGAAAGGAGGACATCTAAAGTGAGTTGTAAGAAAATATCGCTAATTTATATCCATAAATGTGTTATGAAATGTGAACTGACTGACTCATCTGATCCTCCTGTAGCTCTTTCTAAAAAGTTAAACTCTTCAGTTGCTAGAGAAACATTGTGCCTCAAAATAGGAATAAAAGCTTAAGCTTTCAATATCCTTTTTAGATGTTACTTAAATTAGCAAATTTTTTAACATATCGTTGAGTCAGTGGCTCTGTTGGTAGCTTGACAAACTGTGAAACCAAAGTAGTGATGTCATAGGATTTTGCGTCCACCTTTAACTGTTCAGATATATTTAAAGTCGGACGGCTTGCTTGAAATGCCGAGAGTGCGGCGTGAGACAGGTAAAAAGGGCTTCTCATACTTTGGACCCCAGGCATACAATACCCTCCCAAGAAATATGAAAAGTCTGTCATGTAATTCATTTAAGGCAAGATTAAAGCTAGTTTAGTTTCACCTACTGTTTGTAATTATTGTGTAAAATGTCTTGTTTGTGATTTGAGTTGTCTTTAAAACCAGTTTTGACTGAAGACCGCTTTAAATAAAGGCATTTTATTATTATTATTTACAAACTAGATTATGTCCCGCAGTGGTGGAGTCTTTGTCGTCGTATTTTTGGATCACTGCAAAATCCTGAAGATCTTCCTCAGAAACGGAATCACCATAATTGTCTCCGGTGGTCACAAAAACGTTATCGATCCCTCCCGTGATCGTGGCAAAATCACGAATATCTCCTGACCCCTACAGTCATGTGGAAATTATCGTAGTCTTCCGCGATTGGAGCAAAATTTGGTTCATCTCCCTTGTTCGTATGGACATCATTGTCGTTAATTAAAGTGGTTTAAATACAAGTAATGTTGATAATGCCCACCACTTTGTTGACGTTGAACCACTTTAATTGTATCTTGATAATCCGGAGGCTACCCGTTTGAAAAATCATTGTCATCTTCATGGTGGTGTAAACATCATAATCGTCTCCTCGTACCTATCGGAAAAAAATTGTCATTGTCTCCCATGGTTAGTCTAATGTGATCGTGGTTAGTTATGTGATGGTGCAGTCATCATCGTCGTCTTGCGCAATTGCTGCAAAAGGGGTAATTTTCCGATTGTCACCAAAGTGTCTGGTATCTGTATCGGAATTGACCATTGACGATCAATTCTCGACACCGATAAGTTACCAATGTTCAAGTATCGGTGGTATTGAGAATTGGCATCAAGAAACAACACATCCCTAATATAAAAAAAATTGGGGGGGGGGGGCGGCCCTCTCGGGCACCTTCCCTCTGGATACGCCACTGATTATGGTATAAAAACAGTAAAAACTGTATGGAACATGTGGTGTTTATATTAACATGTTTGATTTACGTTCACACTGCAGTTGCCCCTCTTCAAAGAATAGTCTTGCAAGTATTTTAGAAGCTGCATTTTCTTATTAAACATGGAGCTTATGTTCATTATTCTTACTGTGTACTATAACAATCTTGAGCTTTTCATTCTATAAATATTTTAAAAATTACAGTAATTCTGTTCAGGTATTAAATTCAATTAAAGATTTAATTTGGAAATGTTCATAATTGTCTCTGGTAAACAGTATAATTTTTAAGACCAGAAACACGAATTGATCTATTATACACACAAGACTAATGAATATTAGACTAACGCATATTAGTTTCATACTATAGCATAATTAAAAGACCGAAGATTGAACATAACAATAAATGTAGTATGAAAAGTTGTACTCATTTATGGTTGGGAAAACGCATGGGGGATAAAATAGTACAAAGAAAGCACTGTCACTTAGTAGTAGTGTTGGGAAATATTTCTAAAAATAAATTAGGTTAAAACCTTTGAACATATGAGACATTAAGTTTTTCACTGAATTATTGGTAGTTAAGTTATTTGTAGTTAAGTTATTGGTAGTTAACAATACATCTTTATAAACACAGTAACAAAATGTTCATAATCTCCTCAACCTTTGCAAAAGTATAGATAATGTAAGTATTGTACTGTAAAGATGTCAGTAAAGTCTTGAAATTAGGTTTATATAGCTTAGGAGGGTTGAGAAATTCAAGTTATTTTTAAAACGATGAAAATTGTTATTGCCTTTAACCAAGAAAATATTCCTGACATTTCCTAAGCTGCATTATTGCATTAAATATGTTTTACGAAATATAAAAATTATTGCACTTAAATAAATTGACATTATAAATATTTATCCCACGCACAGAACTTAGTTCAACAGTAAGAAAGGTTTATTTTAATTCACTTCCTCTTAAGATATTGATTACGTTCCTTCATTTGCTGATCAAAAACACAAGTTACTATAATTCCATTAATCTTATATTGATTTAATAAGGCACTGAACAGATTTATAGAGAATACAATATAATTAAAGGTACATTTGCTAATCTATTATAAACTGAGATAAAATAATTACAAAGGGTTTCAAAAAATAATACAACAAAACTAAACAGGTGAATTTTCTGTGTCATGATGAAACCTGCTGTTTATTCCATTAATGGAAAGAGCATGTTCATTAGTTAACAACAACTAACGAGCTTATAAGCTATAACTTCCCCAATCCTCACCCAAAAGCAGTTACGAAGAATAATCCTTTATGACAATTGTTTGGAAGTATTGTTGAAAAGGCTTCGGCTCCAGATCTGAGAAATCTCCACACACACAACATAGTTTTAGCTTTTTTGTAGCCATTTAATAAGCAAGTCTGTCACAGTTAATCAAGTAGCAAAGAAAAAATAAACCATATAAAACTAATAAATATGTCCTTTCCTTTGACATTAACAGCTGTGATAACCAAGGCAAAGAGAAAAAACACCTGTTTAGTTTTGGACATAAAAAAAACTCTTTATGTCATGTTACTCATGTTTCCGTTATATGTGAAAAAGTTGATTTACTTTTGAAAATACCCAAGTATGCATGATAATGCCAGTGAATGTCTTTCAGTTCAACCGTTGACTATTGGATACTGAAGTAGATATGCGGTTGTGTCCATTTTGCGGTCGTCCATTTTCCGGTCAAGTTTAAAATCGTCCACTTACCGTCAACCCAAAAATCTCGTGGGGTGTCTGAAAAATAGCTTTCTATTTTGCGGTCACATATTCTGAAAATCCCGAGAACATGTGAGCCAGGTTGATGACTCATAGCAGAGACTAGGCCGATGGGGCTGAAGACGCGTAGGTATGGGGAACACCAATGCACCAATGCAGGTATGTGAACTGAAATTATGCACCCCTCGCCCGCTTTACTTTTGACTTAACAATTTCTTTCGCGAGATTAGCTTAGCTGTTGTCGGCAAGGTATTAACACCTACGTGTGTGAATAGTAATAGTATTATTTAAGTTAGAATCATAAAGTTAGTGGGTTTTTTTGAGGGGGAAGCCATGTTTGCATTATAATGGGTACGCTATTCTAATAGGATATATCGAGAAAACAAACAAGGTGTTGTGATGTAGGTGTGCTTAAAGGAAAGATCCGCCAGACGCAAGGGCAGAATAGTGACTAAAGACAATGTAGAAATTAAAGCTGTTGTCCACGATTGCGTGCCAGACGAAGCCTATCTTGATGTAAAAAAGGCGGTGTTATCAGCAAATAAAACAGATTTGAGAGGACATTGTAGCAGTATTGTAACCGATGTATATAGCCTTCTTGACTAGTTTGTTGGAATATACAGCCATTGGAATATAATTAGACATGATTTGCGAGTTCAGAAATATCTGTCTGTTAATATAAAAGTGGCTCCGTCAACAACTTCTCATGAAGGTCATCCTGTAAAAAATCAAGAACTGTTGCTGCTCTATGTACATGGAACAACTATTCATTCAGTATAGTCACATATTCTAGGAATCGAAACCTGACCGCAAAATGGAAACCCTCCCACCCCTAGAACCTCGTCGCCCCCCAGGCATATCTAAACATGACCGGAAAATGGACTGACCGCAAAATGGAAGACACCCTATATGGACCAGCTGTCACCAATTTTTTTATTAAAAAAGTACATAGTTGTGTGAACTAGTTACAGAATGCGCTATAGTGTCTAAAATTCTATTTTCTACCTTATTTTTTTTTGCTAACCAAGTTGATGGGTTATAACAAATTGCTATAGCTCAAAATAAGTCATTCCATTAGTTTGACAGCACAATCTGTTGGTGACTCACGACAATTTTGATTAAAAAACTGGTGACAACTTTAACATGGAAACGGTATGTCTAGGCGTTTCAATAGTCAATGGCTCAACGTTTACTTTTATTGAACTGTTGTAAAAATAATAATAAGTTAAATAAATCTGCTTTTGATTACAGGAAATTCTGGCCTAGATTATTGGGAAGACATAGTTACTTGAAGAATGATATCTCTACAGATAGTGGTTGTATCTAAAAGAGAAGTCAATTTGGAAACTTAGTTACCTCTGTTTAAGTCAATTTGCATGTGATAGTCTACAAATATCATGTACAATTTATGTGATATACTTTTAGATGTTGTAATACTCATTACCAAAGAACAAAAAATGTTTTCAGATTTTATAGTAGTATATTAGAGAATGGTTGTCAAATTTATTTTTATAAAATGTTATGTATGCTATATATGTAGATAATGTTGTTATTGTTTGAAAATGAGTTTTCAAACTAATAAAATGATTGTCTTTGTTATCACACTTTTGTCGTCAACTACCATCATATCGTTTATATTAGTCAAATTTGATTAGTAATTAGAAAATTCAAAATCAAAACCTATTATGCCTATACCTTACCTTACCTAACAGATGTCCCTTATGATTAGTTATAAGTTCTTTACTTTTAATTTTTTTGGCACTGGTACACCCGAATATGGGTGGAGTTTAATCCAAAACTCATTGAATATATTATAGATTAGTTTTACTTAGCAGCAATGAATTGATTGCTTAGGTAAGTATCAATGTTTTTTGCTAATTTAAGGATATCAAAACTTTGAAATCAAGACAAAATTGAAAAATGTTACTAAACAATTTAAACAGTTTCATTTACCTTTGATTTAGTGTTTACTGTTACATTGATTATTAAAAAATATAGTAACGATGTAACATATACACACATATACTAACCATCAATTAAAATCATAAACAAAATCAATTCCCACATAAATTGTATTCCAGGATTTTTTCTTTTCTCAGTATGCTCTACAAGCTTTTTCAATATTAAATTTTCCTTGTTTTCTATCATTCACCTTATTAAATTGTCGAGGCAATATTTATTTTGGAAGGTAAAATGGATGAATATAGCCTGGAATTTTAATATAGCCAAGATGTTATGAGCAATATGATAAATATGTGGGGAAATGGACGTGACTTTTACCCTGCTATCAATCTTGGACCCAGAATAAAGAGTGAAATTGGTTTAACCTGTCAAGCCACAGAAGGGATTTATTGGGGCCTAACATCACCTCAGGAGTTAAGTGTAGCTAGGTTGTCAATCTAGTGGTGAAATCATGGGAAAATATTAAAACGTTGGGTTTATCGTGTAATGCCAAAGATACCAAGTAGCAATTCTAAAAAAATATACAGTATATTAAAATATATTTTAACAGTTTGCATTGGTATATACTATCTTAGGAGGGCAGGGAGTAAGCTGGTCTAGATGTAGAGAGCAGGGGTTTATTCCCCGAGGTCCCGGGTTTAAATCCCGCCAGTGACGAATGGCTTAACTATGTGATAATGCGGCGGCCCGAAGTAATGTGTGAAAACGGTTCCAGGCTAGAGCATAATGTCCTCTGGTATGTGAAAGGAGGACATTTGAAGGGAATCGTAAGAGTATATCACTAATTTATATTTAGATTACTTCATAAAGAAAAACTTTCAACACCAGATGGAAAAATATTGGTCTTTCACAGCACACATTGAAAAAAGTTAACTCATACAAAACTGACCATGTAATCGTAGCATATTTTAAAAGATTGACTGACACCGCCCAACTTATTTCTTGTGAGTCGTGTGAGTGGCCTGCCTAGCCATTTCATTCAATCCATGAATTCTTAGGTTGTATTGTGGTCATTGACTTTTAACACTAATTACATTATTGTTTAGTATAAATAGTATATTAATGACATTTTGCATTTCAATAATACTGTTTTTTATTAATGCCAGTATTGTTATGAACCAACGGCAGTAAAGATTCTTGATTCTTGTTGTGGTTTCAACATTCAACAATATTAAAAATACTTAAAAAAAATAGTTATTTGCATTTTTGCGCCAAATTTCAATTCACTACAAAACGCCGTTATCGAATAAAAATAGTTTGGTAAAAAATGGCGACTGTAGCGGTAAACTTTGATTTTAAGTTTGTCTTTAGGCCAGGAAGGTCTTAAGGCCTTAGGCCTTAAGGTGGTGGAGAGTTCAGGAACAGTGTGTAGGCTATATTATAGTTTCATTATAATGTACTATCCAAGGGGAAATCATGAGAAAATATTGTCACTTTGGATTTATTGCTTCAAGTAGGTTTATTAATTTTCTACATTTTGTAATACTTGACCAACAACAATAACAATGTTGCAATATTATATATATAGACTATTGATTTAGAACTTCATTTAAATATTATCTATATTACATTAAATATATCTAAGGAGAATAACTATGAGGCCTCATGCGACGGGAGTTACTGTTCAAAAGGTTATCTTAGAAACTAGAACTAAAAGTTTGCCTTCTATAATTCTTATTTATTGTTCTAAAACGATTGCCCTTTCAAAATAATATTTCATTTGATTATATTCTATTGGACTCTCTTGAGCATGAAATTAAATTAAAATAGGGTAAAAATGTAAATTTAGAAAGAAAATGTGAATGAAATACGAATTATTACCATAGCTAATTAATATAGTTTATATAAATTTTAAACAATCATAGCCTATTTGGAAAATATACCAAGTATTTGAGATAAATAACATAAGAATGGGTCTAATAATAATTTTAACCTTAATGTCAAGCTTGATTCCACACTTAATTTTACACAATTATTATTTTTGACGAATTGATAAAAAACATACTAAGCTTACTAAACATTTGGGAACGAGCCTTAACGGAAACTGTTTAAAGACGAATTCTACAGATGTTTGATGATATCAAAAGTAAGACAAAACAAAAATTTCTCGGTTGCAGCAAACCTACAGACCATGCAAATTCCATTTGCCTGATTGTCCTTTTGCTCAAATATTTCATAAAAAGATATATTTATTCCATATTTAAATAATATTATGTTTGACCATTACTTATACAACCCTTGTCTAATAAAATAAAAAAACAAATAAAACACACATTAATAACATAAAAAATTAAGTTGAGAGAAAATAAAAACTCTTGTTCAATATTGTTGTGTTAGCGGATAATGGTCATTAAGAGTTATAAAGTCGTCAGTTCAATCCTACGAATTCAGTAGTTTTATAGATTCGAACTGGATCTAGCTATCCTTGATCTAGGCTTTTAAGGTTCTGACTAAATAAACAGCTGATATTTTTTGTCCTAGGACGCTAGGCACGAGCCTGGGATTGTTTTTCGCATTACTTCAGGCTAGACTAGGGGTTGTGGTATTATCACTTGGATAAAATCCATTGATGATTTGGCGGGATTTGAACCCGGGACGTCTTGGACCGAAGTCCCGCGCTCTAACCAGCTGATATTGGGCAGTAACAAGCTACTCAGATCATCCTGCATTTTTTTCAGTAAACACGTAACAAATTTCTTTGATGTCTAAGTGCAGTAAATAAGTAATCAACCATTGAATATCTAACTGTATATATTTATTGAAAATTCCAGCAAAGATAAACCACTGCTATCGTGATATTCGACGTGTAATACGTTAGTAATCCAACAAAAGCAACCTTTCGACACCAGAGGTCCACACGAAGCGATCCAAAACTCAATTTAGGCTCCGGATTGTGAGTCGAATGAGAGATGTGATTACAGTAGAGCATTGTAAAACAGTCGATGCGCGAATGGGTTTTCGGTTATATCCTTTATTTATTCTCCACTGTGTTGCAGTGGATATTAATTATCTTTGTATTTGAAGTGTCTGTTGAGTTAATTGCATTTTCAAACAATTAAATAGTTGTTTATTGTGTAAAATATTTAATCAGAGAAAATAATTTATGTATGTACTAAAACTCACCACCGTTAGTATATTAAGTACTTTCCCCTAAAGTTAAGAAGGCTAATAAATAGTATTTTTTTCTTCTGTCATAAATATCTGTAAAATGAGCTGCCACTGAAGAAGGGGTTGACATTTCAATTTTTGGTCTGTCCTCAAAATTTTGTATTGAGGTGATGAACAAAATTGCAATTTCATCTAGTGGATTAAATGTTGTACTTTAAATGGGTATATTATATTCTTCTATCTTCAACACTCTAAAATTATTCAGATACTTGGGGACTTTTTATGTATTTTTGTAAGGGTTTTGAAATCATGATATACTACCCTGAAATAATTATATTTTTCTTGAAGTGAGATGTTCCGATAATAATATATTCATAAAACATCTGTGGATAAACCATTTACTTTGTGGAAATAAAGATAACACAACGTAAAATATTTTTACGGCCGATTTTCGTAAAGATAAGGCTATAAACAATATCAAAAGCAGATCAAAACCCAATTATAAACTTTAGCTAGCGGAGTAAAGCACGTCTGGGTAAAGTGGGTTGAGTTAACAAAATCTAACGGCTTTAGGTACATATTTTATCAGGAAAATAAAAATAAAATATTATGTTAAACTACTTATAAAGAAGAAACTATTATAGTAGCCTATAGCCATATTCTTAATAAACTGAATTTACGTTGTTAACATACCTGATATCTATTGAAGCAGAGGAGGAGCACAACTATCTTAGATATTTTTACGTTGTGAATCACTTGAAAGAAAATTATTAAAATTAACTAAGGTATTATTGAGCTTCCTTACAATTTGGATTTGTATGTCCCACCTTCACATCCTAGGACTGTAGCTCTAGTCCAGACTCTTGAACTGGTTTACACGTCTCTTCAGGCTAGACCTAGAGGGTAATAGCATAATATCATAGCTAAAGTGATTGGTGATTCGAGAGATTTGAACCCGGGACCTCCGAGACCAAATCCCCTCGCTATGCAACTAGATCAGCTTGCCCCCTCACACATTGGCATCGAAATATCGTCCAGTGTTTCAACGCATGAGCTTGATAATTATGGCTAGTTATCTATTCCCTGTATAAGATTCATTATACAGTTTAAGAATAAAAAGTATTTTTTCAAATTGTATTCTCTGTTTTTTTTTTTATTACGTATACACATTGTAAATTTGGTCAGGGGATTTAATTGTATTTCAACAAAGTGCAATTGACTGGCTATATTTATGTAAGACCGTAGTATCAATGCTTAGTTTAGGTTACTGAGCATATTCTCGTACACAATTGCACATTTTGCACAAAGCTCCAAAGATTATTCCTTATCGAGCTCTTTTGCCCGGGATGTGAATGTCATTTACACAACAGTATAAAATGAACTCTTAACTACGTAAATTGAAAAA